CAAATCTTGTTTGGTCAGTTTTAAATATTTGTAGAGTCCACCAATTTCCCTCTACCAACCTCAAGTCCATCATTTTTGTTCTCCTAACTGCTCTCCCCACACTCGCTCTTGTTCTTCTCTAATTTCCATATTGCAGCCAGATTTCTCATTTTTTAAAAAGACAATGTAATCACATTACCACTTTGTTTAACACATTCCAATGGCTTCCCATTGCTCTCAAGAAGAAGGCTAAGATCTTTAGAATTGCCTATCATGTCCTGCGTGATCTGGCCCTTGCCTACCTCCTCCCCAGCCTCATTTTGAGCCATTCTTATCCTAACTCTGAAATCCAGAAAACTGGCGTTTTTTCAGTGTCTTTGACAGGTCATGCTCCCTCTCACCTCAGGGCTATTGCACATGCTGTTCCCTTGGCTTGGAACACCTTAGTCCCCTAAAAACTCCTCCCCACTTCCAACTTCTGCTGAAAAGTTACTTCTTATGAAACTTTCCCAGACTGTCTCCTTACCTCTCTGTCTCCCTATCTCTAAGTTGGGTCTTCCAGTTAGAGATTCCCTCACTTGCTTGTTGTCTTAGTTACCTAGTGCTGCTGTTACACAAATATTACAAGTGGGTGGCTTTCAAGAACAGAAATTTATATCCTCACAGTTCTAGAAGCTAAAAAGTTCACATCAGGGTTTCAGTTGTATCAATTCATTGCTTGTAAGTAGTCCCAAGTTTCCTTGATTCCTTGGCTTATAGACAATCCTCACATGGCATCTGTCTTCCCCTGTGTATGCAGGCCTCTGTATCTAATCTGCTCTTTTTATAACTGAGAAGTGATTAGGTTTAGAACCCACCCTACTTGGGTATGATCTACGTAATGTAACAAGGAAATCCCTATTTTCAAAGAGGATTACATCCACGGGTATAGGGGTTAGGATTCCAATACATATTTTGGGGGACATAATTTAATCCATAACACTTGTGGATGTGAAGAGACCAGGCTTCAACTCTCAGGCTCTCCGGTCACTTCCCAGGGCTCCAGCTTCCAGAGCAGTAAGTTGTCTGAGGCAAGAAGGGTCAGAGGCAGACCCAATTTTTCATCAGTGACTGCCCAGTCTTAGGGACCCCTTGAAACCCAACATGATCTCCCTGTAAGGCCAAGTTCCCGCTAGAGAAAGACGTCTTTCCCCTAGCACATCTGCACTTTCATTTTAAATGTGCCTCATAAGCACCAGTGATTATTACTGAGGAGGCTGAGAAAGCTTCTCTGGAGATCTTAAAAATGGGTAGCTTCTCCAAGGACTGGAATAGTTCAGCTGGGTGATTAAGGGATGAATAAAATTTCCTGGGGCCTCTTTTATCTCCAATATTCTGAAACTCTGGTTATTTGATAACTTTGGACATGATCCCTCAATGCAGACAGAAAAGGCTTCTTAATCTCTTTACTCTCTAGCCAATATTTAGATCAATAAGTCACTGGCAACAGTGTAATATAACAATAAAGAACCTAGATAGGCTGGAAAGCCTTTTGCATGGATATGACTGTGATACTGTTAAAATCGCTTTCCCTGTACGCTCTCCAGAAGAAGTGTTGCTTTGCAAAGTGTTATGATAGTTTAATGTCTGGCTTTTATGTTTCATCATCTCATGGCATGAGGAATGCTGAATGTTCTAAATGTTGGACTTCTAGAAGCTTGAACCCATTGACCTGCCACAAGTAATTACTTCTGAAAGGCTCCTGAGCCAGCAAGAAGCTGGGACAACGCACAAAGCAAAGGTGAACTGAGGCAATAACCAAGGAGGATGGGGGAGTAGGGGGAGGCTGCATGGGATGCAGCGGGGTGGGAGAGGGGGTGAGCTATCCTTTTGATGTACTCCTTGCACAGGGGACTTCAAACACAAATTGAACTGTGAAGTCATTCAGAGTTAGAACTCTTCAAAGCTATCCATGCTCTCCCGTGCCTGCTTCCAACTGCCAATTGCTCTTCCTCTCAGATGAGCTCTGGGGCCTTCTCTGTTTCATGGTGAAAACAGGGAGATGTAGATGAGGGAGAGGAATTTTGCTTGGAAATTGGTGATTCTAGAAGTTTTCAAATTTGTGAAAAATCCTGCACAGCTCTTCCGTTAAATACCTTCATTCTTCCCCTTAGTTAAAATTTTTCTTTTCATTCTCAGTTTTCTCCGGGGAAAACATATCAAGAAATTGTTCCTAACTTATTTGCCACGATCTCACCAAAAAGTAATTCTGGGAAGGGTCTTCTGCAGATCTTTTCCATTTATAAACTTGTAAGACTCTGCTGAGTAAAACTCCCCTCACATAGAAAGGAAAACTATGGAGAAGATTTTCGACACTTTCCATTCCTAATCATTTTGGATTCCACTGGATAATGCTGTGGAGCTGACTAATCCGATAAAAGATGTCCAGGTATTGTCAGGTCCTCAAGGGCACCTTTGTGGTGCTGACAGCACCTTCAAAGATGGGCTCCCTTCCTGAGGTTCACATCAACCGACACAGTCACCGACCATAAGGGCGACGTGAAAATTATCCCAGGATACATCCGTGCCCTTTCCTGGCAACAGCAAGTGAGGAATGTAGGTGTATTGGCCCTAGTTTCCCTCAGTAACTGTCATAGCGTCCCACTGGAGATTATGACACACAGTGGGCAGATCACCAGAGTCACAACTAATCAACTTCCAATTCTTCCTAAATTGAAGTATTCTCCAGGGCTTATACTGGTATATTGGGGTGTACTCTCTAGAAATAGGCTCCATTTAATCATACAGTGGCCCTACTTGCATTTCATAGCAGACAATTAGTCAATGGTGGAAGAGGCAGGGAGAAAGAGTCTCATCAAACCAGAACACATTTCTGGGAGATAGCAATAAACATCTGTTGACAGGAAATACTATCTTGTCAAAATGAGATGTGGAAACGTATTTCCATTCAAGGTTTGCAAACTTCTACAAGAACCTTAAAAAATTATATCATACACACAGCAGAGTGCCATTTAATTCCATGATAGCTACTTACAGGGCTCGTCAGGGAATTGCAATGGTCCACCTCTGACCTCGTAAGAGATCTCTATGGATTGTGGTTGATTAATGGATTTATTGATATCACACTCTGTTCCAAAAAGGATTTAAAGTCATAGATTGCAAATTATCCCATATTAACCAGTGTGTCATCTTTCATAGCAGGAACTGGAAAAGAAGATGCAAATACCAACATATATTTCTGGGAAAAGACAATATTTACATAAGATGCAAATGCTGGAAATGAACCGTAAAAGACAAGAGGTAAATATAAGAGAGATAAAGTGTGTCATGTTTACCAAATTTGCTACACATAATCCCTGCCCTAGAACATGAATATAGGCAAATATACACCACCAGCCTTTACTTAGCTATTTAAAGTTAGTCACTGGTGCTGAAGAGTCAACTACTGAAGCTAGGAAGAATCAGGAAGATCCCTTCTGCTAACAACCCTGTTGAGTCTTTCTCTGTGTTCAGTCCTCTCAGTTGTGTATCTGTGTCTCAAG